GGGGGGGAAACAGCCCTGTTCTTTATTCCTGTTCATGCATATCTATCTTAATTCAGCGCTATGTTTCCTGCCGAGGTCTGAGCGCCAAAGACTAAACTAATTTTCTTCCAATTGTCTTTTCTCTCCGTGTGAGTTTTTTCAGATTGAAATAAGTTGCTCTAAGCTGTGGTGTATTTAGGGAGGAGAGGCTTTATCCAGAAATAAACCACCGTTCAGATGTACTAGACTGAGTCATGTCTTGGCAATCAATACAGAATGTCATTAAAAGAAGACATGATCATAAAAAAGTCAAACATTATTACAGGTGCTGCTACTAAACCATAAAAACATGGAACGAATCCAGCAGCTCAGCTATGCAGGTTCCACCTCAGGCTGTTTTCACAGCAAAGTCACTTCGACCTTTTTTCCCACCAGAGTGGATAAGATTGGACTTTAAGTTAATTAACATTTTTCTCAATTTTGGACGATAGAGTTGGTGAAGATTCTCAGTCATCCAGGTCATAGTCATTCCAAAAAAAAGAAAATTAAAAACAATCCACTGGACTTTGTTTACAAGTTTGAAGACGTTTCTCTTCCCATCCTCACTGCAAAAAATATAAAAAACAATTTTTTCTTAAAATAACTGCATTTCTTCATGAATTAAGGAGGTAAGTAAGAGACTTTGCCAATGGAACAAGACAATTTACATTTAAAATAAGAAAAAACAACTACATTGTCTAATTTCGAGAGCATTTTATTTAAATATTTTATTTTAAGGGTAAAAATCCTCATTCCATTGGCAAATAATCTCATTTACCTACTCAAATTAAGGGTAAATACACTTAATTTAAGAACTTTTTACTTATTTCTAGATCATTTTTCCAGTGCAGGAAGCTCTTTCAATTCAAAATTCCTGCCATTTTGAATTGAAAAAGCTTCCTGGATGGGAAGCGAAATATCTTCAAACTTTGAAACAAAGTCCAGTAGATAGTTTTTAATTCCTTTTTTTGTCTTGGACGAGAGGGAAACCTCTAACAGGAACTATGAAAGTCATACCCACAGGTCTACAACATCTAAGTACATTTACTTTGTGTCAGGGTTGAAGTATTTTTTTCTGAGTATCTGTACTGTGGAATGAATGACTTTGCAAAAAATCTAAATTGTGACTTTTTTCAACCAAAATTGCGATTTCAATTTCATTGTGATTCTCCTTTGCACTAAGCACAGGCATGTCGACGTTGACATGCCGTTCAGAGCAAAAGCTAGAATCTTAGAAATAATCTGAATTAAATTAAATTAAAAAATGTAATTTTATTTCTGTAGTCGGATGAGAAATTATTAATTCACTACATTTCTTTCTAAATATTTTCCTAAAAGCTGATAAACCCGTTTCTAAAGCATTCTGCATCATTGC